AAAAGTTCAATACAGGGAAAGGCAGACATAGAAAGAGATAAGCAGATTTGAGACACTGGGGCTGTCAGCCACCTGCCGTAGATGAGCTGATGGGTGTGCGCTGATGGGTGTGCTCAAGGAACGTCCCTCCCTGCCGCTGAGTCCGTTCCATCTCAGTCCCCTGCAGCGCCCTCACGCACGAAGAAAGGGCTCTGGAAGTGGCTGCGCAAACACAGAACTGCCGAGAGAAACTTTAGAAGACTTACACAAGTGGAGAGATTAAAGATTCGTGGATTAAAGATTTAATTTTAATACGTCAGTTCTCAAATTGACCTTGCAGTTAGCAGTCCTGACAGAGCCACCAGGACCTGAAGCACAGTGTAGAGATTGCATCTCAGGATGACCAACAGCTGACACTGACTGGGACCATGGGAGCCAGGCTGGTGTGTCCAGAGTGCTCAAAGGAAAAATTCCCAACCCAAGACTTCTGTATCCATCAAGCATCTGTGAACGAGGATACAGAAAAGACATTCTCAAAGGGACATGAAGATATTTGCAAGTAGAGAAACCCCTAAAAGGTGCACCTGAGGCAAAAGATGAATGAAGGCTATTAGGTTGAATGGCGGGTATGCAGGAAAATATGAAAATATGAAAAGCAAAGAAAGTGGTAGATGAGGGGGTTCCCCCCCAAAAAACAGAATTTTTTTTTCAAATTTATGTGTTTATATTTTTTACAAAACAACCTTATCACCTTCAAAGTACTCTTCATTACACTTTAATACATTTGTCAAATCTGTGATTCCATTCTTGGAAACATTTTTCAAACCCATCTGTTTGGATGGCTGACAACTCCTACCTCGTTTTGTTCTTCACTTCTTCTACTTTATCAAATCACCGTCCTTTCATGTTCCACTTCATTCCAGGAAACAAAAGAAGTCACACCAAGTGAGGTCAGGTGAGTAAGATGTGTGGGGCAAGAGAGACATGCTGGGGGTTTTTGGCAAAAAACTGGCACACTGAGATGGCTGCATGAGCAGGTGCATTGTCATGGTGGCAAAACCATTCCTCTGTCTGCCACAGATCAGGCCTTTTTTGTCGCACACTGTTAGGCAATCTTTTCAGAACCTCTAAACAGAACGTTTGATGAACAGTCTGACCTGGTGAACACACTCCAAATCACTCTCCCCCTCGCACCAAAGAACAAATGAGCACTGATTATTTTGAGGTGCCCTTGTATATGTGAGTAAAGCTAAATAATAAAATAGAACATGACGCTTGAAATAGGCATGTTCAAACCTTATATTTAACTGTTAGGATTTAATAATATAAATTTGTCATTCTTTGTCATCCAAAAACTGGTATAGCATTAAGTTTGAAAATTCAGCTTAATACAGATACTCATATGAATGAAAATTTTACACAGAGTAAAAGAAGTTAGGAAAACAATGTCTATTTTTTTAAATCATTTTATTGGGGGCTCTTACAATTCTTATCACAATCCATCCATCCATCCATTGTGTCAAGCACATTTGTACATTTGTTGCCATCATCATTCTCAAAACATTTGCTTTCTACTTGAACCCT